AGATAGGTGAGGTGAGGTGGATTTATATATACACATACCCTCTTCTGAAGATTAATGAGACCCTAAAACTCAGGGCCCCACCTTTGATATTAGAAGAATGACAGACAGTAGAAAAGCAAAGACAATCGTGACTGCTGAATAACAGCGGGATGGGGAGGGATTGCATGGATGAGAGGAAATGATGACAAGATGAGCAGAGAAAGAGAGGGGCCGTATTAAATAATAGGAATGCAGAAAACCAGCTGGTAAAGTTCGGCACAACACAGTTTTAGAACTGAGAATATAGGCCAGAGTTGACTAAGTTATGATGCACTTGTTGTTTATAGAACAATGTAAGAACACTGTAGATGCTCTAGATTTATTAATCACACTAAAACATTAAGGTAATCGATAAAACCATGGTGAAATAATTACTGTACAGCCAAAACGTGAATTTAGGCAATGGGCCAGCATCATAATCATCATAAAAATAAAAAAATGTAAATTGTGTATCTGCTGTTTTTGAATGTGACTCATCCAAACAAATCTTACACCCAGAACTATTTGTGAAGTAAGTAGACTATCATTTTTTTAAAGACTATCACTATTATTTTCAATGAATCATATTGGTCTATATTGGATATATACAGTATCTCACAGAAGTGAGTACACCCCTCACATTTTTGTAAATATTTTATTATATCTTTTCATGTGACAACACTGAAGAAATGACACTTTGCTACAATGTAAAGTAGTGAGTGTACAGCTTGTATAACAGTGTAAATTTGCTGTCCCCTCAAAATAACTCCACACACAGCCATTAATGTCTAAACCGCTGGCCACAAAAGTGAGTACACCCCTAAGTGAAAATGTCCAAATTGGGCCCAATTAGTCATTTTCTCTCCTCGGTGTCATGTGACTCATTAGTGTTACAAGGTCTCAGGTGTGAATGGGGAGCAGGTGTGTTAAATTTGGTGTTATCGCTCTCACTCTCTCATACTGGTCACTGGAAGTTCAACATGGCACGTCATGGCAAAGAACTCTCTGAGGATCTGAAAAAATGAATTGTTGCTCTACATAAAGATGGCGTAGGCTATAAGAAGATTCTCAAGACCCTGAAACTGAGCTGCAGCATGGTGGCCAAGACCATACAGCGGTTTAACAGGACAGGTTCCACTCAGAACAGGCC